AGTGCTATGAAACGGAAGCATTACCAAGTACCAGTTGCTTATAAAAAAAAGAACAGAATCAGCATACTCATCGCCCATGATGATAGTAAGAAAAAAGAACAACAAATGGCAAATAGGAATGGAAAAGGAGTGAAGACAATACACCGCCTTTACATCAAGCAAAGGTCTATGTCAATAGAAGGTGATGCCGTTCGGACTTGTGAACAGTACCGCCACGTTCCAAAAATTCATGAGTAAAATGACAGAGGGAATGAAAAACCTGGTCTTCTTTGTTGATGATATATGCATACATAATAACACATGGTCAGAACACATAGAAACACTAAAAGAACTACTAGAAAGACTGAGAAAACATGGGGTTACAATAGCGCCAGGAAACTGTTTGTGGGAGTAGATACAGTAGAATTCCTAGGATTTAAGGTTGGAAATAAAGAAATTAGACCTACTGAAGGAAATAGGGACAAAATATTAAATATCAAAACTCCTAGTACAAAGAAAGAGGTGAAATCATTGTTAGGACTATGCAATTTTTATAACATTTTTGTAGATAAATATGCTGAACTTACTACTCCTTTAAGAAAATTGCTATCCAAAGACAAAGTTAAACTAATATGGACACAGGAATGTGAAAGTGCTTTAAATAAAATAAAGACTGAATTCATGAGTGACAAGGTACTGATGTCATTAGATTTTAGTAAGCATTTCACTCTTTTTACTGATGCATCAAATACAGCGTTAGGAGCTTGTTTAATGCAAGAAAAGGATAATAAACTATACCCAGTACAATACCTCAGCAGGGCATTATCACCAAGAACAAAGATATGCAGTGATTGAGAAAGAGTGCCTAGCAATTGTGTGGGCATTGAATAAATTACAGAAGTATTTATTAGGAAGACACTTTACTCATAGAATAGATCATAAGCCATTAATCACAATCAATAAGAAAATGATAATGAATAGCAAAATAAATAGATGGGCACTGATTTTATTAGATTTCAAGTTTGAGATAAAAACAGTAAAGGGACAACACAATACACTAGCTGATTTTTTATCAAGACAGATTGAAGATGAAAAAACAAACATGGAACTGACTAATGGAAATAATGATCTGAGACATATCAGCCAATCCTTATAAGGAAATTTTGAATAATGTAGTATGTGATATTACTTCCAGAGAAAATTAATATTTTAAAAGTGTGAGCAAGATAGGAATAAGTTATAACATGACTTGTATAAATGTTTTATCACTATTTTAATTTAGTAATGTAAATAAACATACATTTTGTTGTATTTCTGTGGTCTGTATGTATACTGTATATCTTGGTTTAACTTCAAGTAAGGAACATGACTATGGCAGTATGAGTTGACAGATGTGGTAATTTACATATGTTATGATGAGGAGTTGACCTCAGCCATTGAAGTAGGGAAATCAAGGATATGATTTGCCCATGGGAGCTATTGCATAGCTATGATTTTGTTCTACTAAGAGAGAGTTTCCCTTAGTTAGATTTATTTGAGATACACTAAGAGGTAATATTCATTAGTGAGGTTTAATGAATTTTTGTTACACTAAGAAGAGATGTTCCTTAGTTAGATTCATTTGTTATTATTAAACTAAGAAGGTTTACCTTAGTTACAATTTTCCTTAAGGGCGATACTTATAAGATAAGTGAAGCTTTGCACTTTTGCCATGTATTTTATGAATATCATTGTTTTAATTTGGTAAGTGTACATATAAAATAATTTAGGATGTTCATTAGCAAGTTTCTTTTTCAATATGATTTTCATTTAACCTATAGTGAATGTGATGTGGAAGAAAAAAATAATGTATTAATTTGTTAAAGGGGAGAAAGGGCATATGTAACAGTCAAATGTAAATGAATGTATGTTTCGAGTATGTGTTTTAAAAAGGCGATATAAATCAAAAATAGAGTGTGAGTGTGCGCATGCGCTAAGGAAAGGAAGGAGAGAGGTAGAGAGAGGGCGAGGAACATGGCGATGTCTTGGCAGTGAAGGTGTTGTACATTTGAACCAATAAAATTATGGAAATTACAGGAACAAGGGTTGATTTTTGTTTTTAGTGTGTGCCATGAAATAGGCAGAAGAAAAGGCCGTGACAAAGTTAAAGTGAGATATTAGTGTTGGTTATTACTTTTGTATTAGATAGGACCAACTCATGGTAATTGATACAATATCAAGTAGGAAATGCCTTATAATGAAAGGTTTATTATTATAATTTATGTAACTCCTGAACTATTTTTCTCAATTTGATCGCTACTGTCTTCACATACTGAAAGTTATATATATATATATATATATATATATATATATATATATATATATATATATATATATATATATAAATATAGTAATATTAAAACAAAACAAAAATGAATACTACTTTCTAAAAAAAAACTATATATCACAATTAATAAATCGGTTATGTTAAAATAACAATGAACACTGCTTCAAAAATAATGTGGAATTTTACTTTTAATTTCAATATTGTCCAACTTTATTATCAATATTCTTCTCGAATCTATTTTAGATAGGTTTTGTTAAATATATAAATACGTTGATGTGTGGAAGAATTTTGAAAATGTAAAATGACCGTAATGTCAGATCCCCAAACATAATTAGTTTTCAATATTGGGAAAAGTTAAGTATACATTAAATGATTGTTATATTAAAATGTTAAGTTTTATTAAAGCTAGTTATACCTGAATAATCATTTGGTATCAATGTTTCCGCTGCTCCCTGATCTGTGAATTTTAAAATGTTCACATGATCTAAAACATTTTATCATATATTATACACAATTGCTTAAAGCCGTAACTTTGACTCTTTCTTATTATCTATTTTTTTATTTATCTATCCTACTATGTTTCTATATATATGTTTTTATGCATATATATATATATATATATATATATATATATATATATATATATATATATATATATATATATATATATATATATATATATATATATATATATATATATATATATATATATACACTATATCATATTAAGACTTGATATTGATCTAAGATATTTCTTCATGAGACCCTCTACAAACATACATATTGTATGTGCCAGTTACAAATATTTGCTGTTTGTAAAAAGAAAGAACTTTATCAACAAGGTTTGTTTATATCTGCAAGGGAATTATAATTCACCCTACAAAACAGTTTGAAATAAAAAGAAAACTGAATTATAAATACATATTTGAACATTAAAATTGGCAACACATGCCCACAATGGTTCAAAAGAAACACTTTAGATCTCACTCAAAGAAAGCGAGGGACCTAGCTATAGCTTATTTAGATTAAAAGTAAATTCGACACTGTATTTATGATATAATAAAACTAGATTTCTCGATTTTCTAGAAATAAAAATTATTACATTCTCTTTTATGTATTTAAATATTTTCCGTTAAAACGTTCTGGTAACTGATATTTAAAGTTTTATTAGAACTTTGACCACAGATGCTACTATATAATTAATTTACAATATTTTTTGCTCTTCACTGTGTACTGCACCATTTGGCCTATTCTTTGCAAAATAATAGTTCAGATAATTTGAAATTACATCTGTTTACATTTGTTTTCAAACAACACACACCGAATGTAATTCATTCCACCTAAACATCCTAAATAAATACGAGATTTGAGGTTCGAAAATGTATACGATTTATTAAAAATTAATTTGACGAATAAATTATTAATATAAATAAACCGGGAGTGATCTCCCCTAAACTTTCTCGAATATTCTCATATAAAACAACAGGGGATGCCAACTCGGGATATAGACATGATTTATCCCTTTTATAAGCTTTTTATTAACTCACTTCCTCTGTCGCCAGTCGTCAGTCTGTCGAGATCGAAACGCCCGAGCGAAATTACAAGAACTTCTAACTAACAGATACGGTTCGTAGTTGGCACGTGGGTCAAGACAGGAAGACAATGCAACAAGACATTAAATTTGACTTAATTGGTTGTCTGATTAATTTTTTATAAATCAATTAAAATTTTGTCCAAATTAGTAGGCTGTCTCATCAAACTATTTCGCGCTATTAGACACGCGTCATCACGTTCAATAGCGTCTCATCATGTAAAGTACTAAATTTTGTTAATAAAAAACGTTTTCAACATTTTTTTTATGTAACAATGCACTAAAAAGTAGAAAATAAATTATACAATACTATTTACATTATTATAAAGAAAAGCGTGGGTTGTCTTCTTAAATATTAGTAAAGTTATCCAATAGATACTAAAGTGACCCACGCTTTTCTTTATAGGAATGTAAATAGCAGTGTATAATTTATTTTCTACTTTTTAGTGGATTGTTACATAAAAGCTTGTTATTAAAACGTTTATGATGAAAAAATTTTTAAATACTTAAACTTTTTAAACTAGAATAAATTCTCGTAGAAAAAAAATTGCACAACAAATGAACGCCAAATCAAATGTGCATAATAGTGCGGAATATTATTAGTGCTTTACAAATTCACGTGTGTTTTTGAGAAATCGGAAATTGTAAAAATTACTACTTCCGGTCAACGTAAACTACTCAAAATTTTACAGAAGGCAGAGAATTTCATTTATCTATCTGAAATAGTACTCAAGTTATAGGCTTTTGAAAAATTCAAGGTTGAAAAAGTTCCACTTCGGGTTATCGGAAATAGCTCAAAAGTTAATAAGGATCTACGATTTTTTATATAATACTTATATATGAAATCTCATCAACCTAGCTTTAACGGTACTCAAGTTATCGTGTTTACAGACACACACTCACATACACACACATATACACAAACAGACATATGGACAGGATTGCAAAACTATGGTTTTCCGACTTAGGGAACTGTAAATCGTCGTGATTTGCAAACAAAATCCCTATTTTTTTATGCACGATTACAAGACTTTCTCTATAGGCTACTTCGTATATACGAGAAAGTAAAAAAAAGTCGTACAAATCTTTAATTATTAATAGACATTATTTACCTTGGCCTACAGTGCGTGTCCAAACTTTGCAATTCCTAATTTTTCGCCAAACTTTGCGACCTGCTTCAGTATGTTAGAAAATGTAGTAATAAAGGAAACAATTCTAAGTAAAAAAATTCCATATATATATATATATATATATATATATATATATATATATATATATATATATATATATCTTTATCGCTGTTGGTTGTGGACATTTAATATGTAAGAGTTTATGCTATATATTTATTACTTATTATGTATGAAAAATAAAAACTATGTACACATTTCCAGACACTTTTTATTTTACCTAACAGCACATGTATTTTAATATTTTCAAACATTTAAAAAAATTAAAACTTAGGAATTACTATTTAATACTTTTATTGTTATTTAGAGCAAAATATTGAAAATAATCTGAATTCAAAACATATAAAATATACTAAATTTTTTAACATCGTTTTTGATAATGTAGTTTGTTTACTTTTTAAATGTCTAACTAACTTAAGAATTTCTAGTAAAACAGATAGTGTTTGTTACCTCACAAGTTAGAGACAGTTACATAGTAGGCATATCTGTAACTGTCTTTAACTTGTGAGGTAACCAACACTATCCGTTTTATTACTATTTTGCATTAACCTCACTGCAGCTACAATTTGTATTTATCTTTTCCCTAACTTTAGAATAAGAATCTACAAAATAAAAACATATCAAAAGTATAAATATGTATACCTTTCGTTTGAAACAATAATACCACATGTATGACTATTACAATGCAACATATTATTATTAGTATGTTGTTAGATTTTCCATCATTCTCTTTTTCTGAAGATGTTGGCATACGCTTGACTTCATCTTGAAATTAAAGTACAAATAATTAGTGTTTTAGTCATTGTTTGAATTTGTATATAACACAAGTTTACATTTCTAATATAATTATTTTATTTACAGTACATTACACTACAATGCTATAAAAGCCTAAGAATGCTGACCTAAAATGTCTCTGTGACAACGAAACATTTTAAAAAAGCAATTGCTATGAGATGAACTAATATTATTTGCCCTTGATATGCTTGTTCTTTATTCTACATGTACGACTTCTCGTCTTATCAATTCAAAACAAAATAAGGGACGAAGATAGAGGCTGACATAAGAAGTAGAACAACAGCCAAATTTAATAAGTCCTTTAAGTCAGATAGTGATAAAGAAATAACAATTTATATATAGAGAGAAAGTCTATCAATAAGACAGGTTAATGTATGTACTGGGCAGTAAGATGTAAGTACAGTTAAAAAAAGGTTTATAATAAAGTAAAGGAACAATGAAAAATAATATTTATTGTTCTTACCGCTTGATGGGATATACATCTTTTCGATTTTACTTCTTATACCGAATACATTTTGTGCCCAAATTTTGATTTCTGAAAAATTCGAATGGCACTATAATTAATTTAGAATCGAATATATTAGCATAATATAAGTCATTTGATCATGATATTCTACGTATTAACCGCTTTTAAATATTAATTATTATAAAAATCACACGCTATATTTTCTCCATAATAGGGCTAATCCTCTATTGGCGAATTTTATCCTAACCTTGTAACCCCTCGAGTTCACCCCGACCAGTGTTTCTTCCAGACTTTTTTCTCCGGGGGGGGGGGGGCACTTGAAATTTTCGGGGGGCGGTAGACTTTCTTCGGGGGGGGGGGGGCGGACACGGTTAAAAGTATATATTTTCTATATAAATTATATAAATTTCATTTTGCTCGGGGGGGGGGGGGGGGGTCGAAGAGATGCCTGGAAGAAACTCTGACCCCGACCAAAACAAACAAACTTTAATTTATGTTTAAAATATTAACTACTCGGTGTCAACATTATATCATCATCTGTCTTTTCCCTTTTGAGCCCAAGTCACATGGGAGGGGGGGGGGGATGAAGTAGAGTTTTGTTTTTGTTTCAGAGACTTTTGAACGGTTAAGGTAGTCAGCACTATGCCCAGCCGACTTTGCTTTCCCTAACGTGAGTTAGGTACCCATAAGAGCTGAGTGCACTCAGGCATGTTAAACTGACTTTCGCTCAGTTTCGCTCCCTACCGCTAGGCCTCGCCGTCGGATCAACAATATATATACTGGCCAATGTTTATTCCGATTGATAAAATGAGAATTTAAAATTTAAAAATTATTTATTCGTTATAATTGTTAAGTTTGAGGAGATTTCCTATAATACAATTAAGTATAACGTGTCAACATGGTATGAGCCATATGGCCAATTGACAGCAATTTCAGCCTGCTTTTTTCTGTATTTGCTTCGATAGCCTGTATCTACCTTAGAACAAACTATAAGGTAGCTGTTGTTTTGATTTTGAAGTCCCCAACTAACGTGCCCTATCTGCCCAAGGTCCGTACTCAGGATTTTGGAGTATGCAATCATATCTTCTCTTTTCTTACGAGTGGCAACTTTAAAATATCACTAAAGTTAAGAAATATATTCGTGAATACATTTTACCTCGCATGCCATGATACATTTGTAATTCAATGTGTGTTTGATTTTGGTACAGCAGGTCCACGTTAGACTCAATAACTGTTGTGACATCGCTTTGATCAAGTCTTTGGTATAAACACGTAAGTATTCCATCCGAGGTTAGCCCAGTACAACTTTTTATTGAAATAATCGGCCTCTCTGTTAATATGAAAAAAAAAACAGAATTTATTTTTCTTTTAAATATTGCATTACAAATAAATGTTAGTGTCTTCTTTGTGGGAAGTAATGATATTTTTACAAGCTTTTATTTAACTTGTTTCTTCTTTCTTCATCTCCGTCTGTCTAGATCGAAACGGCCGAGCGATAGCTAGGGCACTTTTAACCGATAGATTCGTTTCTAAGTTGGCACGTGGGTCAAGACTTAAAGATAATATGACATTAAATGTAAATTAATTTGATGCCTAATTAATTTTTTATGAGTTAATTAAAATTTTCTGAAATTAGTGGGCAGTCTTGTACTACTTTTTCCGCAATATTAAATATAATATTAGTAAATGTATCCAATAGATTATATAGTGGCACACGCATTTCATAATAATTATTTAAATAGTAGTGTATTATTATATATTTAGAGAAAAAATTTTTTTTCTCATTTTTAGTTCATTATTATATAAAAGCTTGTTATTAAAACGTTTTTGATGCATTTTTTGGGATCAGTTTACAGAAAAGTAGAGTAAATGACTTTCTTAATATAATGTGAAATGAGTTTGAAATCAAAATACCGATTTTAAAATGAACTTCTTGTTTATATCTTTTAGCACTGTGGGTTCCAGAAATGTTTGGGTACAGTACTATAGTAAGTTCATTGTTTCCTTGAAGAATTTGATATCTTGAAATTGTGTAAGAGCACGTAGAATTATAGTAGAAAGATTCGGATTCTTCGAAGTAGCAATCACCACTGAATGTGTCATCATTTATTTTTACATTCATCTGTCGATAAAATAGTCGATGTTGACCATGAGAAAATATATAGAAACATAATTAAATGATAGAACGCTATTTCCATTAAAAGCTACAATGAATTTTACCTCAGTTTTCGGATACCCCCTTTGTACTTTACATGTTATTTTTAGTCCGTTGGGTATGAATTCTGTAGAACATTGTGCATTGATTTTTTTCTGAAAACAAAAAAGAATTTTACTACATGTGTTTTTAATATTTAAAAAAATGCATTCCAAGAATCTAAAATGTGATAACAAAAGTAAAAAGCAGCTCACTGACTTTAATATCTAGACGTGTGTGATGTTTATAAGGCTTTTATATTTAAATGATTTTAATATAGATGGGTAATGCAAATAGATAAAACATGTACACTGGTGTTTGAAATTGATCTAACACCTAGCCTAGAATATTAGTTAAGGCTAGTTTAAAGTAATACATACATAAAGCATACTTGTTTAAGTGTGTTGATAAATCTTACCAAATATTTCTAAGTCACAAAAGTCTTTAACTTTGTCCGTTGCACCAAAATCATGAGCTTCCAGAGTGTATCTCCCTTCAATATTCTGTTCTGTCACATTTCCAATCTGGAACTTAAACATTGTAAACGTAGCGTGTTTTATGAAGGTAAGATTAACTGACTTTGTTGGAAGCTGGCTTGTGCAGCCCCTTGATAAATCACATTCATACAGAACATCGTTGTTTTTCTTTAAAATCCACTTGTTTACTGTAGAAGATACGTTGAAATCTGTCTCATACGGCTGTCCTACTTGTGCTGGCAGGCATGATTGTACGCCTAGATAAAACATCGTTTTTCCATTTAGAGTCTATGTTACATTAAGTATTGAAAACATTAACGTTAAGCTACAATAAAATGAAGATGTTCAAAAATACATGTCAAACAATGGCATAATAAACCTTACAATAGCTGTATTACTATTATATAAATATTTAAGTAATGTTTCCTTTAATTAATATCTCATATTTTAATAATATTAGATATATGGAAATTATAACGAGTGAATTAAATATTAATTAGAAAAATATCAACATGATTTAGATTTTTCTCTGTTTCACAAACAACAGAAGATTTTATTTTTACTTTTAATGATAAAAAAGCTGAAAAGGGCATTTTACTTTGTTTAGAGAGTTCAATATATATTAATGAGAGTGTACTAAGTTGGTATAGTTTTTAAAATTCATTCAGTCATAAACATTTTAATAATAAGCATAAAAAAGTTATTGCAAAAAGGCTGTTGCAGTAAATCAAATTTAGTATGTTTTTTTTTCAGGATAAATTTAACAATGGTTGCGCTATAGAACATATCTTTATAAAAAAATGTAGTCTCAAACTAAAACATATTCTGTTTATTATATGTGCAGTACAATATTTATTTCTATTTTGCGATTATTAAATTCTTACAAAGAAATTACGCAGACTACTGAATAGATTTTAAATAAAATTTTAAGTTTGTTCTTATTTTTGTTCTTTATAAAAACTATACTACTAACCTCTAATTATAAGTACAATAATTGCTATGAAATCAGTAAGATGTAGTACCATTGTCGATTGATTGGACACACTTATCTGGAAAAAATAAACAATTATATTTAAGCTTTTATATCTATATCTGTATCTGTATCTATATCTATATCTGTATCTAACGCCTATATTTATTTTATTTATTTATCTTATTTGTTGTTTTTTTTTTTGTTGATATCATTTTTTTTTTAAATTACGTTCATAATCTCTGTCTTTGTATTCTATTATTAATCACTTGAATCTCGTTACTGCTTGTTATATTTCTGTGCTTTTAAAACTTAAATAGGTATCTCTTTTTATTTTTGTGAACTGCTTATATCCGCCAATAATAGAGGAGAGGAAATACGACCAGTGCTTATATCTTCTCACACCCGGTACCTATTTTAGCTTCTATCTATATGCATATATATTTTTTTGAATTTTTGAAGTGTTATTTTTAGAATTCTAAGCAGAAGCTTGTTTTTTGTAATACTAGCCGTCCCACTAGCTTTTATTTATTCAGCATCACATACCTTGCGCTAACAGGGTGTTGGGAATATATTACATTTCCAATTAATGTAAATATGAAAATATAGAAAATATATAAGCCTTCTCCCCTAAAAAGCTAAACATATACGCACAGCTATAAACACAAACATAGGAATATTAAAAAAAAAACAAAATAGCATAAACCAACCCTCACTACAATTTCAACTTCAACCACAACTACAAACATAAACATAAACTCTCTCCCCTTCTCGCACTCATACGCCTAAACTAACAACAATATAAGCCCAAGTATAAACTGAAACCGAAAAAAAAAATAAACGTAAATCCTAACCACCATCACAAACTAAACATGAACGTAAACAAAAACTTAAAAAAGAAAAACAACCTACACCTACACCTACACCTACACCTACACCTACACCTACACCTACACCTACACCTACACCTACACCTACACCTACACCTACACCTACACCTACACCTACACCTACACCTACACCTACACCTACACCTACACCTACACCTACACCTACACCAACACCAACACCTACACCTACACCTACACCTACACCTACACCTACACCTACACCTACACCTACACCTACACCTACACCTACACCTACACCTACACCTACACCTACACCTACACCTACACCTACACCTACACGTACACGTACACCTACACCTACACCTACACCTACACCTACACCTACACCTACACCTACACCTACACCTACACCTACACCTACACCTACATCTGCACCTACACCTACACCTACACCTATACATGCACATATTCATATACATTTGCCTATATCTACTAATTACGGAACTAGTTATCTTTATATTCGACAAAATAGTACCGCAGGTGAGTGCAATATGTACCGAATGTGTACCAAACGGTAATACAGAGTTTTCTTTGAACATAAATATGTATATGCAATAAAAAAAATAATTATCAATTCATTCAGATGCGTAGCGTCCCTTCCCGGCGCCCGGGGACAAACTTTCAATTTGGCGCCTGCCACCCCCCCCTGGGAACAAACTTTCAAACTTTTCAATTTGGCGCCCCCCTCCCACCCCCCATATATTTTTTATATTTATAATGCAAAACTGCAGCTAAAAGGAATAAGTATTATACAAACAGTTTGGTTTCAATATGCAATCGACATGTTCCCAAGCACTAGAAATTAAACATTGAATCACATCTGTTTAAAGATCCTCATCGCACATAAAACAGTACCAACGCTATCGTTTACTCTTTGTTTGCGTTACATACTAATACTTCATTATCTTATCAATTTTCATCTTTTGATTGTTTGGAATGCTTGATATTTTCTTAATGCTAATGCTATTTGTTCTTTCATTTCGTTAGATAAAAACTGACGTTTGTAATTGATGGATATAAAATACCACAGAACTTTCTTTTCTCTACTTCTTTTTCCTTGAGTCTTGTCATATATTTGGTATGGGCGATATTTGTTTCAACGAAATGTACGCCTAGGCAGAAATGGTGGACTCAGGTAGTTTTGCCTATATCTGTGGAAATGAAAAGGGTGTAGTTAAACATTGTAGTAAACCGAATTTTTCAATTAACTGTTTAACACACTGAATAAGTATAAAGGTGACAGCGTCTAAAATGTAAACAGGTTGGGTAAATAGTAACTCCAGTAGCTTTTACCAACCTTAGAGGGTTACAATTCAGCCGACTAGGACTACACATACGTTTGTGCTTCCGTGTTTTAACCGGCCAAAAAAAAATGTTTAATAATGGAGTAGAATAAATTTTTGCCACCCTAGAAAAAACAAACTAATAACAGCAATCCTCTGCACCATGAGACATCTATAAAAAAAAGTCTAGACACAACATCGACCAGTGACAATATACAAAAACGGACTTACCGTTTCCTCTTTCACGATCGAACCCGCCATTTTTGTCAACAGACACACTGAAACTTCTTGAATAAATTAAGCGTGTTTCCGCACTTTCCTG